AGTACCTCCTTATTTTGGGATGTCGGTCAAAAAGTGTTAATTAAATTGTTACATAAACTGGTCACCCTACACGCAGCTATTTAACATTTATTAGCTGGGGCTAATTTAACTAGCCAGTGCCTCTGTACCATTAGTTACCTAATTGGATGATTTTAACAGGTGTTCATCAAATAAATATACTACATAAGGAATTAATTAACGTTCATCACATACTTAACACGTAATTAAATTATCGAGGACAGTGAATATAAAATGGGTAAAAACCAATACTAATAAACAAAATTGGTAGGTTTTTATAGGTTTGTAATTATCATGGCAAAATGAAAATGTATGTACCTATTTGGACACTTACATGTTCTAAATTTTATAAATAATTTTATACTAATTTCGCAACTATAAATTTATTCAAGTATTCTTTTAATAGGAAAATTACTGAAATTGTATTTGGCATTTAATGTTAACTGTATTTATTGAACACCTGCTAAATTACCGCTAAGAAGCAGTGGTTATTTCGCAGTATCGTTTCATTTAAATCTCTATTACATTCGCTTACCGCCTACACAACTCAATGCTTTGAAACTAATATTTTATAGTATGTCCACATTTTGAAATGAATAAACACGGACACGAGAATTGATGAATTTCAAAAATAAATTAAAACAAAACAAAGCACAAAGAAAACGTTTATAACATCCCAAAACTTTAGAAAAAAAAACCTCTACAACCTATCTTTCAGACCTTCATCAAATAAAAAATATCGAATGTTTAAATATTCTGTCCCATAAAACAAATGGTCTCCCTACTTGGTCAATGCTAGTAACCTGTACTATAAAAGTCCTTTAGGACTGGCTGAGGCAGTGCCCTATATAATTTATGATGCAAAAAACTTCAAGATTTTTATATAAATATCTTACCATCGTACTATAATAGTTACAGTGCAAAAATGCAATAACCGTAAATAATTTGTCTATGAATAAATTGCTATATAATACAATAAAAAAACCTATTATAATCTGTAAATTATTGCTTAGTTTAAAATAGACGTAAAAGTTTTTTATTTTTCGATTGAAAAATGTACTCTATAAACGTATTTTATGAAAAACAGTTACATCACTATCTCAATGTCGCCAACCTTTCGCTGCAACATTGAACTCACGGGTATTTGTTTAACATTTATGTTACTGGGTCTCTTTGTTTGAGTTTTCCAAAAGCAAATTCCATACAAGTTCACACACACCTGCCGCTAGACAAGTAAACAGTCTACATATTAACTGGGTTATCTTGACTTTATCTATTGTCAGGTGTCGCTTTTTGTAGGTATAAAAGTTTGTCTGAACGAGAAGAATACTTGTAAAACATATATTCTGAATAATAAAAAAAATATGTGCATCCTTGTACTATATACACTAGAATTATGAATATATAATATTATGTGTATCTATAAATTGATAGATTATGTAAACTAACTAAAGAAAAATCGCTCAAGAGAGTCTCGCCAAAACAAAAGCAAAATTAATAACAATACAAGACCACGGACTTTGTGAAAGGAGACACCAAAGCACCACGATTGGTTGAACAAAAAACTGGCACAGACAAAAGTGCAGACGGGGGAAGGAATTTTTAAAAACGACCTGACTGTATAAAAATATTCCAACTTTATGAAGACTTGGAATATTCGAATATCGCACGTCGGTTTAGGTATATACGAGAGCTTCTCTTTACTCGCAGTCTGTAAAACCGGGAGCCGGGATAAAATTTGAATCGCGTTATACAATAAACGCCCTGCGGCAAGTTTACGAAACTTCACCTTTTGTTTGGGCAACTTTTCGAGTTGTGACGTGAAAAATAATCCGACACTCACCCACAAAGGTCCATCTCATTAGCGGTTTACAAAAGGCAAGCGAAAAAGAATAAAAATGTCTTCACTGCTTATATCATTATTTTATGTACAGCATATCACACGCATAGAAAAAACATCCTCTATGATACAAAAATAGATAAACTATTCATAAAGATTACGATATTAAAGCAACATCGAACTGTCAAAAAATTTTAAACACATAACTGTCAAAGTAACCGTTAGGAAAAATTACGAATTCAGAGATATCCATATAAGTCTAAGGAACGTCTGATGTACTAAATATATTAACGTAAAGGAGGAAAGAAAACAATGTATCTCACTTAACATCAAGTACAATCGTGGACCTGATATGAATACAAGTCGAAAATTTAACCGAGCTTCGCCGAAACTTGTGTATAAACATTGTAATCTCTTTCTGTCTCTTATAAAAGAAGAGAGGCGACAATATGTTTCAATACAAATTAAGGTAATGGAATGTCAGTATCGTTCCCTAAAAGCGGAACCGGTTGGGGAGACGTTACCGCTACAAATACGAAGAAAAAGCCTTACAGTACACGTATGTCAGAGCGTGCTCTTTTTATTACATCACCTTATCTGTTATAATCTTAAATTACTTATTACCGTATAGCAGCAGAAGAAAAAGAGAATCTTTCGACATACATAAACACAAGCCGTCGACTGGCCTGGCGAATAATTTTGATACCAAAAAATCATAGTTTCATTTAAGGTGTTACAATTTTAAACTACGATTTTGTACATTGTAAGCTGTATCGCATTTAACACTATTAGTCAAATTGTCAGATAACAATTTGAACATAAACGAATGTAACTTCACAATATGACGGTAACAATGCAAACTTTAAAGGCAATGCAATGAATAAGGTAGCCACATCACACAATGCCAGGTGCGTCGCGTCACAGGTGGGAAACTGGTTGAAGCATAAAAAGGCTAACAATGCAACAGACAGACGAGTTATTCAGAGAATTTGAGTAACAACATAATATTGTAAAATATTCCATTCTATTTGCAGATAACTAAATAAAACCACTTTATTCTGTAAATGCAATATCGGAGGTCAATATCATATAACTTACATCAAATGACGACCTACACTTTATGATTCAGAGCGCATAATAAATATGCATTTCTACATAAAAGTTTGTGATAAATCTGAAATATCTGAATACAGTTTATTTAAACTATAATACTGGGAAAAACGCAATTAAAGTGTTTTCATATTATCGGTCATACAGACATGTTATTTAATAAAATCGTTTAAAAAACAAGCACTTCTGAAAACATGAAGCTACTTAAAATTATCGAATCAAATCCTCGTACTGATCAAATTCACAGTCGTTTCAACTAAAATAAGTAGTGTACAGTTTTTATTTACGAATATGCGTAGAAAAGTTCTGTGATGAATCAAAGTCAATGACCTATTTGAAATATCTACGAGCACTACTGCAATTCGAAATAGTTATTTATATTTACATGTCTTCTTACGAAGACTTATGTAGACAACTATCATTATGAATTTGCAACGAATTTAACCTGAAGAATTTATTGTATGAACGAGTAGTACGTATCTTGAGGACCCTCCGTAGGGACAAAGGCAAGTTAATGAGGATGAAAATCAAAGTAAAACTTAACCCTATAGTACACTGCTTGAAGTACAGTAAAAATCTTACTATTATTATAAATGTGAAAGTTTAGATGGATGGATGGATGTTTGTTAGAGTTTGTAGTCTAAACTGTTGAACGGATCGGGATGAAATTTGGCATAGACGTAGAGCATAATCTGGAAGAACCGATAGGCTACTTACTTTTTTTTTAATACCACGCGGACGGAGTCGCGGGCGATAGCTAGTAGATTAAAAAACAACACAATGTCAATTATTTCTAATGTATAGATAACACCTGTAGACATAACTGTCCTGTTTCCGTATAAACAGATGATATTTATAACAGAACCGCCAAATATCGTGTAAACACTTGTGTTCCCACTCACCAAACACGCCCACATATCATAAATACAGTACGAACATTTAATAATAAAAGACAAAAACCAGGAGCAAGCATTCCTGTACTTAAAAAAAAATACGCATAACTTCGGTTAACGAATGAGATATGTAAACCATAGATTAGGTAGAACAGAACAACCTAAATCACCTATACTTTTAATCTAAACAATATAAATCAATATACTGTATGGGACCACTAAAACATTGAACTTGCGATGTGTTACGTATGCATCTAATCGGACAACTACGTATAAATGTGGCTAGTTTTAAATTCAAAGTCACATTAAGTTTTATGAAACAGTTTAAACTCATTTTCAAAACATCTGACCACTAACTTTGTCAATGTAGATCATTTCGATCATAATCTTTTTAATAGATAATTCGTACATTGTAAAGTTGAAATAGATTACTATTTATGTGGCTATAAAAGTTTTGAGAGCAGATTAAACCAACAATTTCTTAATTCTCAGGAGAATGTCCCAAACAAATTGTTAACTTGTAGATTAATAATTTAATTGTCGGCTCAGTAGGCAACCAAGGCCTAAGCTTAAAAACGCAATAAATACAAGTCACTTTCAAGTTTTATCAAATATTCGTATTTCAGTATTTTAACCGAATTGATGACTGAAAATTGAAATACAAACTCAACATTTTATATTCCGTCTAAAATTTTGTTTATAACACAAATGCGTATTGACGTAAATATGAGATTTTTATATTACATGGCGGAGACTGGATGTTTCTATAGGGAAGTTTTAAAATAGATTACGTGCGTACGCTTCGGGTGAGCGACTCGAACCTCACAGATAACGTTTGTATTGGGAGTTATTGCGTTTTATAAATCTACAAGCGCATTTCTAGGAATTTAGACGAGTCAAACATGTGTACAAGTGCGCTATTGAACACGACGAGCCGGTCGGCCGAGTGACGAGTGTTGATGTAGGCTAGGGCGCGCGGGTGTGGCCAGCTGATCCGCTCGCCTCATACAATGCTACTAATATTTACAACAAAAACGATGTTTATTGATTTTACCCACCCGGGCCGGGTTGAAACAGGTGTCGACTCGATTGCCACTTGACTTGTTTAGGTTTGTTTGTGAGAGGTTAGTTTTACTGACCTTAATTCCGGAGCGTCCCTGTTGCTTCAGCAGCACGTTCTCCGGCTTCATGTCGCAGTGGATGATGCGGTTCTTGTTGAGGGCGTGCAGGCATTGCAGGAGACTGTGCGAAAACTTCCGGACGAGCTGCAGTGAGAACCCTTGGAACTTATTTTTCTTTATCAACTCGTAAAGATTTATCGAGAGCAATTCGAAAGTGATGCACGTGTGATTTCTGAACGTGAACGAGTCGAACATGTGTATGACGTTCATAGTGTTGTCTTTGTCCTGCTCTCGCAGGTGCTCCAGGATACGAATCTCCTCCTGGGCTTGTCTGTGGAATCTCTTTTCGTTGCGCACCATTTTGAGTGCGACGTTTTCCCGCTTCTTGTGATCATAAGCTTTGACGACTTGCCCGAAACTGCCTTTGCCTATAACTTTGAGCACCTCGTACCGGTACGCTATGTGATCGTGCGGTATGTGAATGTATGAACCCTGCTCGTTGTCGTATTCGCAATTGTTCGGGAAGCCGACGAGGCCGGGTCGTTTCTTTGCGTTCGCGCCTATGAAGTACACTTGGGGGTAATCGAATATTTCGCGGTGCTCGTAAGGCGTAAGTTTGTTCATGTAGAGCTTCATGACCTGCTCGGGGCTGGCGGCGGCGGCCGGCGGGGCGTGCGGCGCGGGCGGCGCGGCCGCGGGCGGCCCGGGCTCCAGCGGCGGCAGGGCGCCGTCCCGGAGCAGCGCGCGCCCGAACGCGTGCGCGCTCCCCAGAGGCATGTCGCCGGTCATGGCCGAGCGGCCGCCGCCACCTCCGCGCACTTCGCTCGCCGTGGCAGCGACCCACGCTCGCTCGCACACACCACTGCACCTCACTGCACTTGCACTAGAAGGCGCCACCCTGGGGCACTACACGACATTTCACATCAACCGAGAGGAGCGATAACCACGCTTCCACTTATGTTGGCACATTCCGTCTCGGATGCGACACGATTGAGCGCCCGACGCAGATGATACCGTGCGACGCGAACGTGAAACGCAAACAAAGGCCCCCTTCCTAGCGGGCCGACCCGACGACAGAACCAGAGAGAAAATAGAAACTGGTCGCCAAAGTCATTGAACCATTTGAACGCACGGCGCTGTGTGGAGCTCACAAGTGCGAGTGAGATGGCACAAGCAACATTAACATAACAGACCGTCCGTAGATGGCGCTGTATATTTTAGTTTCTGGTTGTATGGTGTATTATGGGAGACCTAAATTTATTATCTGTATTTTGTAATTTTATTGATGCTGGCTAAACTATAGTAAAATACTTGAAGGTCTAAACTAAAACTGTAGTTCTGTAAAAGTTCTAAGTAATTTTGAGAAGTAACAAAGACTTTATTAAGTAAACAAACCCAAAAACTCGTATAATTATTTTCGGAATCTCTTTCCAAATAAAACGTAACTTAAGAAGCACATAAGTTTATCTAAAAATATGATAGTGATAAGTTATGTATGTTTACAACATAAGCAGTACAGTAATGCAATAAGCATCAAAATCTGGGAATCAAAATTGTAAAGAATCTCTTAGTTGTTTAGTATTTAATGAGTAGTTGTGGCGGAAGCCAAATTCTGGTTCTGTTTTCTCTTCGCCCTTTAAAGAAACGAAGGAGAGGTGGATTTGACATCTCCTACAAAAAAGTCATTCATGGTAACAAAACCTTCATAATATTTTTCATAGAGATCAAATTGATTTTAATTAACTGTAAAAGAAATCCTTTCAAAAATTTAGTTCTATAGATTAAATAAAAGTGTTTTGAAGTTTCTAATTTGTTGTATTTTTTTAGGTCTCACATAAAAATTTGTCTCTGGCCACACTTCAGCCAGTAGCGACATCTATCGAATATTAACATTATCAAATAATAAGTGCATCATCCATCCAATCTAGACGTCTTTTTTCAGTCCGCTGTTTTCTGTCATTTTATACAATCGTAACTATGTGGTAATTATATTTATTTTCGTGGAAAACATGTACAGAGACTATTGTGTAATAAAGTAACGATAGTAATGTGTTGACAAGTGAGAAGTATTTTGGTGTTAGCAGAATGTAAGTAATTTCCATACAATGCCGACAATTGCTTGCAATGATTCCTTTTTGTCATATAATTTTGCAACTGCCTTTTATTTTCATAAATTTCCAACGTTTATTCAATTTTCACTACTTTATTTTAATCCATTCAAATATCCATTACTATTTGGAATCAGTTATTATTTAGCATAGACTGACTATAAACCAATAAGTTTCGAAGAATATGCCATTGTTTCTATTTAGCGATATATAAATGAATACGTGATAGCATCCATTACAACAGTGACGATGTTACAATGAGTACGCGGACCTTTCAAGGTAATGTAGGGCTCAGATATGGTATGGAAACTTATTGGTTAGTACTTCCTTATAAATACTATAGGTAGCCTCTAGTACGTTAATGCATATTTGGAACGAAGCCAGTGCAGAAATGCTTATTGAATTCGATATAGATTAATAACAAATATTTTTTCTTTGTTTATAAAACTGTGTGAATCATTCTTATAGGGAGTGTAATCTTAAATAAAATTGACATTAGTCACTTAAGTGGCCAGCTAACAGAGGCCAACAGGTTATTAAAAATTATAATTTTCTCACAGTTTTATTTCCTGTATCCATTAATGATTGTTTTCTTAATTATCGTAGTTAAGTTTTGTTCAGTTTTATATTTATCTGAATGATATTTAAAAATAAAATCATGTTTATTGACTTAATATAATAAAAACTGTGTACACATTTATGTTGAGTTAATTTGTATCTTAGACTATATTGTTAATAAACTAAAAATATGATTTTTGATGTCATGTCATATCCAAGATTACGAATAATTCTAAGAAAGTTATAAATGTACTTAAATTTTTATCAGAAAAAAATTGAATTTTATTTGTAAATGACTATCTCATGCTATATTAATATTGTTCAAAGTTGTGAATAACTTGCCAAATAATTCATGAACACTACACCTTAACTTACATTATTTATCTGTATAAACTTAATAGACACCACACACACACACACACACACTTTTTAAATATTTTTACATTGTTGTTATTGAATATTTGTCTCATTCCCTTTTTTAATTTGTATAGTGCTATGAGACAGCGGGCTGGCGAAATATCATTCTTATTTCCATCTATACCTTCTACACTCTTGTTTATGCAGAATCAGTACATGTAAAATTACTAAATATTACCTCTACAGTAGATTAAGAGGCCTCGCAGACTAGAGACTTTTCATCTCCCAATAGCTTAGTTGCTAAATCAGTAAGAACATGTACAAGTGGTGTGCATTATCATTACACATAATTACTATAATAACAAGAGTCAAGATTTAAGTGTTTAGATTTTCTCACTAAGTAACATAGTCTATATAATAAAATAGCTTTTGATGACTTCATCCACATAAATTAAAAAAATAAATTCTATGTTAATCAATGATAATGTAACTTTGTAATGGAGAAAGAATGATGAATTGGGTCAGTAGGTTTTGTGTTGTTTCAATAGATACAAAATACAAATCTTTCCTCTTTATAACATATAGTAATAATAGTTTTTACGGGATATCAACTGGAAGGGTATGGATATGACAGAAAAGGTATGGTGCCATCCTTTGTTGCCCCTGGCATTGCCCATAGTCGGTCTTATTATTTTTAAAAACCTTATACATATAGATTTACATTTCATTGTCTTGAAAGATAAGAAACAAAATTAAAAGTATTGCAATAATCAAAAACAAAAGCCCTCCATTTGAATTTAACATTGATGAGAAAGCTTTTGTTATTCAAACAGAAAGCTTTCAAAGGTAAGAGTGCCTTCAGATCAACACGCAGCTTGTTGATAGACGCTTTTGTATTTCATAAAGCTTTGTAAATGTATCTAAGACAGATATTTATTGAAACAGAAATTGTTGACAGCAATAGACATTTCTAAAAGTTATATCATTATGAAATTAAGGTTGTAATTTACAATATTGGTTGAAATTTCATAATTCAATTTTTTTTTTAATTGCTTGATGCACTTAACCACATTAAATTTAACATTCATCCTTTCATGTCATTAAGGATATTAATTGGGATAATAAACAAGGTAATCATTTCATGTTAAAATTGTTAAATTTATTGCATTATATCTACTGGTACTAACTATTGTTGTTGAAATGACTTCTATTTGTTGTATGGTTTATCTTTGCATCCTACCATACAACTGATCTATAACGAATTTCAGTTTTTTAAATACAGAGGAGTTTTTGTATGGTTGTATTGGCAAAACAAACGCAAGGCAACACATCGACAGCTCCTAACGCGTCAAGTGTAATCGAAAATTGTAATTAAATGCTTTTCCCCTCCTAACTATGGAGTTCCGGCTGTGACTGGACGCGCAGCTGCGACCCACAAAATATAATCAAGTTATGAAAGTCACCAACATTATTGTTATTTACGATGAAATATATTTTTATTTACTAAGTTGGAATAGCTTCAGCCTCAACGGCGGACCCCCC